ATTTGCGTACCTGCATGCAGTGTACTATAATCTCAGTCAGACCGCCGTTTGTTAAATAGTGTTTTTGTTTGGATGCATGTATCATGAATAGAGTAAACGACTCAATAATTAGCAGGCCCTATGTTATGACACAGATTTGAATCCTAAAAATAAATTCAAAAGGAGTCAAAATATAAGTTGAAAGATTTTTGATTTTGAGACTGCTCTAGTTTTTGCGATACTGTACAATGAAAAAAAAACAAAAAAAAAACAAAAAACGGTACTCGACAATAAATAAAGTAGTAGTTCTACATCAGTAGGTCGATGCATTTCTGGTTCCATTCTACACTTAGATACTGATGAGATTACATTGAAAATAGCCCCAGGTCTACCTTACTAAGATTTTCTCTATATGTTCATATGTGCGTTGGCCGCCGAGAAAACGTTGCGATGCGGGGAAAGTGACACACTTCAAGGTGTGCGCGACTACTATACTGAACCGGGAAGCAAGAAAGCAATGCCTAAGCTAGGGCCTAAAAAATTAGATGTTATTACAAGGCCTCAGGCCTAGACTTTACAACAAAATTTGTCAGGGTCATACATGAACTAACTCTGGCATGATTCCAATTAATTTCCAATATTTATAGCTCTGTAATTCCTGTAAACCGGAAGAAATATATCTGCCATTCGCACCCCAAACCTCACGATCGCGAACTCGCACACGCGGGTCTCACTCTTCCGGCAACAAACAGATATGACCTACGTTGACCTAAATGTTGACCAATCATAATCAAGAAAAGTTTGAAAACCGCAGTACGTACCGTGTAAAAGTCTACTTTCAAATAGTGCTGAACTTTTGGTTATAAAAAACACCTTTATGTACGTCCTATTTTGGTAAACTTTTAGTATGTTGTTTTACATATAATTAAGTTTATATTTAGATCATAAAACGTTTTGTTGCAATTTTGTCCAGTCAAATCCGTATTTCCGGTGGACTATATTGTTAAGATTTCCGAACGATCTTATTTTTTTTATCTAAGTGAATGCATTATTTCTCTGTTTTTGTTCAGTTTTCTTGAATAAAACAAAAAAATATTCTTAGAACATGATATATGTTAATACATAGCATTTCCAATAATGGTTGAAGTATGATCAAACACCGAATCCACAATTCGGTGCTGCTATTAAATCTGTTTATATTTGTAAACTGTCTGTCAATGTCAAACAACAGTATACACTTATTACCATTCGAAGTTAACTGAATTTGTTCCAGTTGCGGAGCTGGGTAGTAAGCTGTGAGAGTGAATGGATCGCCGCTAGCTGTTGCTAGTCCTTGGACGCCATTGACGGAAGCTACGGCAGCAAGTCGCATGGAGTAGTTCGGAACTGGTATGGTTATTGTTATCTGTGTGTCGGACGTGAAGACTCCGGGAAGCACAGTACGGGTACCTAATAAACAAAGACGATTGGAACACATTACTCATGTACTCAGGATTTTGGTTCATCTGCCCGTGTCTCCAAGAAACTCCATATTTGCTCCTGGATTTCTCCTGATAATCATCAGGTTTAATTTTAAAAAAAATATTGGGCCTCTCATAATCATTCTTTTTTCTAACTTTTAATTAAAGATATAATGTTTACCGTTTTAGTGATTTTAAACATAACAACGAGGTCATTAGGTGTTGGTTTCAAGCATTTGCTAATTCAGAATTACTTAATCTGAACTGAAACAAGCGTTAGGGATTACCGTCTACCCAAGTTAGCAGAATGGACGGATTTACGTCGTAATTTTCGTTCGACTCAGCTCGAATGGCGGCTAGATCGTTGCCCGATTGTACCGTAGCAACCACAGACACTTCTTGATCAGCTCCCGGATCGATAACAACAGACAATGGAGAGATACTTTCGATTGTTACATCTGAAGAAGAGAATAGTTATCGATTTTAGCTAAGATAATAACTGTGAATATGGCAAATATCGATAACTAGAACAGGTTTAATAATTTACCTTATTGAATTGTTGATGCACCAATGTGCTTTTGAGAAATGCTCAAAATCAATAAGTAATTTCGTAGTCTGAACTGCGCATGCGCGTATCCAAAATCATTCGACATAAATATATTTGTGTGTATATTGTGTATATTTGTTTATATCACTTGACCTTGATATTGGCCTGCACATTTCAGACTACGCATGGCTTATTAACATGCAATTCATCTTTTGAAAATATATATACAGTATTGCCTATCTAATAAACTCGAATAATAAAATTCAATATTGCAAGTGTTCACTTAATAATAATAAAGTTATTTTATAAGGCGTACGTTTCACTCTCGTAGAGCTGCACGTGGCATGGCACGAGTTGCCAGATATTATTAAATATAAAAAATATACATTTAAATAAAACATGTTACATGTGTTATGAATACACAAGGTAAGATGTGCTATACATGTACATCATTATTTTGAAATATAAGTGATACGGTACATGGTGTTTGGAATTAACTGTCTGATACCAGTGGCGTAAACGTGCGTAAACAACGTAGGAAAACACGTGCGTTCAGGCCCGTAGCCAGGGGGGTTTTTATGGTTCGGGCGAACCCCCCTTTTCTAGCGAACCCCCTCGAATTTTTGAATGAGTCCCACTCGGAAAGAATGTCTGTTTTTAACTTACCCAGCATTAAATTAAAATTTAGCACCTAATTCATTATTAATTGGTCACCCGTTTTTAAATTGTAGCCTGCGATACAAGCCTACATTCATAGAATATCTCAGCTTTAGAAGTTCGGAGATTTAAATTAAACTCCGGCAAACCAAGACTTTACGATAGCTCCCATAAGGATGGCAAACATCGATAAAAACTTTCACTGGCCTTTGGCTGAATGTTTGTAAGAAATGTACCAACCAGTAACAAAACTGATCTCCGTCTACCTAGAGTAAAATTAATGGCGCCACCAAACGAAGATAAAGTTTTGCGACTTAATCCACCAAATGCAGCTAAAGTTTTGCGACTTAATGATTGTGGATTGTGTGGTTAGTGAATTCCATAGCCATACTCTCCATAGCGCACACTAAACTATTTGCTGATGGAGCATTTTTGGGAAATTGACTCTCCTTTTTTCCATCCCAAACAAAATACTATTAACAAATCAACATGGTCCATCTCAGACATCATAGCGAGTCACAAGATGAGGAAGTTTGTTTTCAATAGCAGACACACACAACAGAACGGAGTGCGTCAAAATCTAAAAAATACGTACTGCATTCCCTTGTCGTACATTCCCTTGTTGTACANNGTATGACATGCTTCATTAACATAACATACACTGAGGATCGCCAACGAATTGAGTGGGTATTTAAACTTTTACGATATGGTGAACTATTTCGATTAAAATGTTATAGTGATTATATAAGAATTAGATGAGTTACGATATGGTGAACTATTTCGATTAAAATGTTATAGTGATTATATACTGTCTCTTATACACATCTAGATGTGTATAAGAGACAGGGCCTACGTTGTGTGTTTGAGTTAGTACGTTGCGTGTTTGTGCTAACACGTTGTGTGTTTGTGCTAGTACGTTGTGTGTTTGTAATTGTAT